AGATTCGTTAATTAGGAAAGGAGTTTTGCAAGCAACGTCTCGAAATATCAAAAGAAAGCTTCAAGGTGGATGTCAATGTAGGAAGCAACAAGAGTTAGAGGCATTGTTTCAGAAAAAATTCACTTCAACAACTGACTCGGGATTACTTCAAATTACATTGAAAACAGAAAGAAACCACAAAGATGTGTAAACGAGATGTCCAAAAATGCTGGAGTCTCTATCAGAGGAACTCTGAGAAAAATATCTTTTTTCTCCAGTCTGAGATGAAAGCATTTACCAATAACAACTGAAACAATTTTTTTAGGTTCATATTCATTTATAATGCAATTTATGCAACTCTGCACCTGCCAGGTATCAGCTGCTGACAGTTTCCTCCAATTGGAAGCTCCCGATTGGATGAAAGTGTCAATTGCTGATACCTGCCAGGGGCAGAGTTGCGAAAATCGCAGTATGAACCATGTTCTTGACATTAAAATATGAAATAATGCATTAAATGTCGAAATTACATTCTCTATGGTATGTATGTCTGAAATAAATATGTTTACCCGAATAACAATACCTAAGAGAACAAAATTTACAAAATAACTTCAATCAGCAGTCGCGCGTCATGTGAACACACTATGTAAAAAGGGTGAAATGAAAGAGTTATGTGGCATGTTGATTAGTGTTTCCAACGTTAAATATATTAATAAATGCATATATTTACAAAAAGAGTATATATTAGAAATAGATAGTATTTAAAATACTTTATCCATAATGAAATCTGTTCTTCTAAATTAGATCTTTATCTTCATTAGACATTATAAATAATGTCAAGTAATTTTTTCCAAAATATGAGTGGTTTTGGAATAATTCTGAAGTGGAACACAAGTGCATCTAATGCAACACAAGAACTTTATAGGTAACCAAGTTGTCGACACCTGCAACATATTGCACCAGAATGTCGATATCGCTTATTGCGATTATTATTCGTGTCTTCAACAAGGAATGCGGTGGACTTCCTTGATATGTGGACTCTGATCCTCCTTTTCAAGAATTGTGTTAATTATTGTGATATGTGATATTTACTTTTACATACGATATGAAACACTGTGATGTGTTCAAAATAATTAATTATATTACCGCTGATTTGGGTCACATTAAATTGTACTGTTTATTGTAATTTTATCGTAGCACAGCATGATAAAAGTAAACAATTCTGGCTGTCTCCTTAAAATTCGGTATTGACACCCTATCCCTTGGATGACTTAATTCACATACATATACTCATTTGCTTTTTGACATAATTTGTATGAATTCCTACAATATTCTTTTTTTAACGATGATGTTGGAACAATGTAAATCACACGTGAAAAATCCCTAAACTCCAACGACATGCACTGAAGTGACACTTTGAGATACTAACACCTGACACTCCAATTCATGTGATTGATGAAAAATACATTTCGCAATGCAATGCATTCTTTGGGGATACTCGATTGTCTTATAAACTACCAAAAAAGTCATGTGCTGGTCTGAATGGGCCATACATATACGTACCACCACCATTTAGTTGACTTCGGTTATAATGAACTTCTGTTGACTAACATTTTTGGTTCACTATGTCCCAGGATATCAAAATTAATCAGAATTTCTCCAGAATTATTGATTTTATTAATAGATATTTAGCAAAATACATAACTGGCACAAACTGAAAATTTCAACATCTTTGCTTGTCCTTAAAAAATAAATTTATTTTCATTTGTTTGCTTTGTAATTTTTCATTAGATCCTTCTCCACAGTTTGTGCTATCGCCATAATTCCATATTGTCCTCTGTGTCTAACAATAAGTATGGTAGTGCATTCTTGACACCCTTCAATGCTTCTTGTACTGCTGGAAAATAACATCCCTTCTCGAAAGGCTCTTTTACTCGCCTAGTAATATAGATGATGATTTCGGTAGCAGGATGGTGCAAGTGGCTAATGAAGCTGAACCTTTTCCGTTTGGCACAGCAGTTGTCACCAGGCTGTGGCATTCGCATGCTTCCTACCGCCTATGTAGAACTCAATGTGTTTGACCCGCAGACTATCAAGTAACACCAAGATTGATAGTGAAGTAAGCAATCGCGTGTCACTGCTGCACTTGTAGCCCATATAAGGACACGACCTTCGTTTCTGCAGTGAAACTGGGTGACATAATGTCATCGGCATGGTGCCCATTCCCGGTCCCTTACCTTCACCCCAGGGGACACTTTTATGGCCTTTAACCAACATTTTTTTCTAGCTGCCTAGTGTTGGAATTCGTAGCTCTGAGGCAATATATTCTTTTCCAGGAGAGAATTAATTTCCAGGACATTGTATTTCCTACGTTCACTCTAGCTGAGGTTCAGATTCACAACAAGTCTCCTTGTGCTTATTTGTAATGTAAATGAAACGGGACCAGTGACTTAAGTTCACTATATCCAAGCTTTTATTTCAAATAAGTTTTGCTCAATTTTATGTTAAAATTTATGAATTTTTCTCTCTCATGTTTAACTAAACATTTATTGTGATACTTGAATATTTCATTAGTGTTTTTTTATTTTTAGTATGCTGATCCAGTGGCAAATCTGCTTGATCGATGGGGTGTATTTCAAGCCCGACTTTTTCGGGAGTCCTGTGTGTTTCACCGAGGCAATTATGTGAAGGACCTTAATAAGCTTGGTAGAGACCTTCAGAAAGTAGTAATTGTAGACAACTCACCTGCTTCCTATATCTTCCATCCAGATAATGCTGTGAGTACACTACTGAGCTTGCCTGGGATTGAATATAAATTACTGTTATATTCAAATTCGCATATTATTATAATTTATTAGTATGCAAGTAGTGATTGGGAATTTTGAGAAGCAAATAGTGCGATTTATTATTTTCTTATATTTGAACTACCAAAGTGAATTTCTAGTTAAAAGAGGAAGTGTTTAAGGTGTAGGCTTCAAGTGAACTTGTGGATAAATTTGTTGTTCTATTTTATTTCAAAAAGGAATTGAAGGGCTCAGCTGTAGAGTGTCCTATGCCACATTTCTAACAAAATTAAGACAATCCTACTAACAAACTCACCACATTGAGTGTTACATTTTTATAAATATTGTGATGCTGGTGTAAAAAAGTTCTATGAAAACATTTGTTCTCAACTGTGGTGAGTGATGTATTCAAATCTTTATCTTATATCTCAGAATTAACTTTATGACATAGGACATTTCAGAGCCAAACTCTTCAATTTTTCAATATTGCATTTTTGTGCAGTGTTATATCTTTAGCATTTGGAATATATTTATCTTCCTTTTTATTGAATTGTGTGTTAAAGTTGTTGAAATCGTTCAGGAAAACTTCACTTATACGTTTTTCAGGGGACTGGAGGGGGGAGGGGAAATGTTTAACTGAGAAAAACGCAATTATAAAATTGAAAATTATGATCAAAATAAAAACTCAGTATTTTTACAATGCTCCACTCACGGACCTACTTGCAGGAACTGCTACGAACATTGCTTAGAAGACTCATGGGCGAGGCATAGGCATGCCCACTGGCAAAGATAGCTGTGATATTTGCACTTTTTCTAGCCTGTCCTTGAATGTCATTATAAATATTTCATTCCCTCAGATTTCAATATTTTCGCTAAATGCATTGAACTTTGAATATGCAATGTTGATGAACGTTATGCAAAGCTGCACCAGACATCACTAGTGCCCCTAGTGTCATCCTACATGGTCACAGCAAAACTACATGATGAATCATGTAGTTCATCATAAGATTTTGATAAAAATGCAGAATTGAAATACCCTGCATAGCAACAAAATTAAATACCCTGAACACTGAATTCAACTCGCATTCCTTGGGCTTCTCTACGATAATGTAATTGTTCTCACTTATTGGTTTCATATGTCATTATACAGTTGTAAAAGGACTTTCATTACAAACACATGAGCATGAAAATGTGTAAATGTAAAACACATGTCTGAAAAAAATGTAGTATGGGAAGAACAGGAATTTATCTGAAACTTACAAACAACAATGTATTAATGTGAAAAATGTGTAAAGGGAGTTTTACTTTATTGCCAAAATGTTTCATATGTAAATTTTCTATTTGGTACTATTTATATATCCACTACCTTTGCATTGTAGGTGCCTGTTGCGTCGTGGTTTGATGACATGACTGATTCTGAACTCTTGGATCTGATCCCATTCTTTGAGAAATTGAGCAAAGTGGACAATGTGTACACTGTTTTGTGCAACTCCAATCACCCTTACAACACTAACTCTGCACCCACGGTCACCACAGCCAGCATGCAGCCTCAGCAGATGCAGCATACCAACCTTCAGGTGAATAACCACACAACTTTAAATGCTGGCTCGTAGCCCCTTGCTTGGACCATCTGTTTCCAAACAAGTCGAGATCCAAGAAGGCAGAGTTTTAGCTTTCCTACTATGTAAATATAATGTCCTGGATTCCAGACGTATATCAACTTTTCAACCAATCTTCGCTGTGGTGACAAGAGTTGAACTCCTGGAGCAGTGCGATAGCTACTTCAGTCTTGAACTGTTTATTCACAACACTAGATGATGGTGTTAATATGTGTTCTCACCATCACAATTGTATTGCAACATTTAACTTTTTCCACTTCGGCGAGACAGAATTCTGTCAAAAATTTTATCCAACAGTCCAAGTGCCAATATTGCCTTCTTGATGCATCAGTATTCCTTATCAGCACAGAAAGTAAGAATTCAAGTAGATGAAGTGTGTGTGTTCTTGGTTCTATTGCCCTCAACAGAATTCTTCAGGAAAAGTTTCCAGTTATTTTTGCTGATAAAAAAATTTTTTATAACTGCTTCTGCTCCCTCATAGTATAGAACTGTATGTTTTGATAAGACAAGAGAGAACCAAATCCTTTACTTCTTTTATAACCAGGGGAATCTTGTATATTCTAATCAATATTTGCTTGTTAAACTTTAATGATAGTATGATTTTAATTCAAGGAGATATTATTGAATTTGGTGTGTATAGATATAGATCCTGGGCAGTGATCAGCTATGTGACTAGACATCAAAGGTGTGATCGGATCCAATAATTTTCTTTTTAACAAACAGTCCTGCAGCAGGAAGATAAGTGAAACAGGAATGCTCAGGAAAGTTTGGTGCTATTTTTCTTAATCTGTTAGGAACATGTAGTTTGGCAGAGGCTGATAAGGATTGAATATGTTAACAATGTACTGTCTGTGGAGTATGCACAAGACAGTGAATGGTATGGTTTAACAGTGTCATGGAGACAGTATGAAAACAAGATAAGTTTGTGTTCCTTAGTTACATCAATCAGTGTGACAGTTCTGGGGAAACCTAGAGTGAGAATTCAGTACATATGCATAAAAAAAGATGGCGCTAGCACAGCCTACTCAGTGTGTGGTACCACATAACTATTTGCATTATAAATGTGAATTATCTGATCTTATATAGTGGCCTTAAACCAGCATGTTGACATGACAGTCAGTAATGTTGGTTGTGTGATTTTTGCAATATCACAGCAGTTTTTACACAGCTTCTCAGTATTTTTACTCTTTGGCTTTTTCATATTATGATGTTAACTTGATTGCATTTCTCATAATCTTGTTTTCATTCTGGTGGCGGTTGCCGTTTTCTTTTATCTCAGGCAACTCTCCTTTAGTTTTATCTCCTGCAGTACAAATGTACATCACAGTGTTTGAGCCAATGAGACAATGTAGAGCTCACTAATCATTTAAAGAGGTATGTATTTTTTGTGCATATTTAACCCTGCCAAGATTATTGTATAGTTGAAAGGGTTGTTGTAATGTTTGGGATATTGTTGATTGACGTTGATATATCCCGTTTACTACTGTTTAATAAGAATCCCATGAACCATAGAGTACCTTGTTTAATTTGGAGTTGGTAGAATTGTACAGATTGTAATGTTTTATTTTTCTGCCCTCTGGCTTGTAATCTACTGCTGTACTCTTATTGCTTATTTGTTCACAGATGTACTTAGTAGGTAGGTCTCTCACCAAGCAGGTTCATAGCTGTTGGTTCGGCAGCCATTGCGAATGGTTATTTTTATGATTTGAAGTAAATGTATTTGAAGTGTTCCTGTGGATCTAATTAAATTTTTTAAAAGAATATTTGTATTAAATGTTCTATATGGCTTACAGAAATATGTTAAACACATGAATGCACAATTTATACAGAGCAAATAAGTAGCATGACAAGTGTGAACTAGAGAATTCGAAAGTAAGTGGAACATACATGTAATTATGTATCTGTATGTCAAAGGATGAACCTTGATGTTTTTAAAAGATACAAATAGGCCTTGACTTTTCAATTGGTTGACCTTGTGCCAAATTATGGAATTGAATGCATTATGTATTACTTGTTTGTCATATTCAGTAAAAGTGTATTTGCATGGACACAGGCACTTCTGCTTTCAATGTTTGTTATTTGTCTTGCAAAAAAAACTGCATATTGCTTACTGGAACAGATGTGACGACATACTACTTGCGTATGTTACAGAGATATAGTAATTAGTGTAAATTTTATGTACTTGACACCCAATTTGGGGCAATTTTAAAAGATAGCCAATATTAATTGGTTCATATTGAACATACTTCATGATCTACATTATTAATACCACCGATGTTATTGAAATTTTCTTGTAGTTGTTTATATTTGTACATTCATATTATCATATTTATGCTGTAATAATAAGATATTTCGCATTGCCGAACCAGCTGGTTTTATCTTCTGATGATGATTTGTACATAAAAAATTATCTAGTAAATACTCTGCAATCGATTTAAGCTAACCCTCGGGCTGGTGCAGGAGATATCGGTAGGTGCTTCCATTGAGCTGGTATGAAGAATCATTGCTCAAAGGTATCAACAGTTTCAATATTGAACCTAGCCTTACAGCTGAGAGTTCATGTGCTAATACCATAACAAAGGTTATACATGGTATTCTTTTTATTAACATTGGAAAAAGCATTGCGACTAATTTGTTTTACCTATCTCTTCTGCTGTGTTGAAAGATGTGGTACATGATTCTGCTGTACAGTTTAAATATTGTACAAACATTTTGTATGATTTTCAGAGTTGGGAATATTATCATAACGCCTTTGATTTGTAAATAAACAGCATTATTATTTCTATGTTATTTTCTTAATGAGAAATAACCAATTGCCGAAACTCCAGTTGCCCAAATCCTGACTGGAAGTAATGGAACTAAAATATGAAGGCATACACGAGATATTTATCCCTCTGCAGTAACATGAAGAAAGCAACATTCACTGGTAACATGTGATATGCCACCCCAAACTAACCATGTTATAAAAAATATATATTAATAACTTTTTATCATGTTAATTGTTTTTCATTGTTAGAACTTTGTTGTTCTGTAAAATGTACAATCATAAAAAATAACATTTACCTACAAATATAGCACTTCTAGTACTCTAAAACTCTCAATAAAAATGTCTCTTCAGAGACCATTACATGCTGATTTACCACATACTCATCATACTGTTTTCACTTGTGTTTTACATCTGCAGCATAATACACATCTTCATTTTTTGTTGTAATCTCTGTGATATTTCTTTTTGACTTAGTCTGTAGTTCCTCTTGCTCTGAAAAGAAGTGAGATAATTCTAGAGTACTGATGTAACATTCACACATTTACAAGAAATTCACTTTTCACCAAGACCAAGCAAGCGCTGATCCATTGTAACAATGAATAAAAATTACATGCTACAGCAAATAATAGCTCTCTGCAGAGGCAAGCGAGAAAACTCTTTCATGTGTGTGTGGGTCGATAAGTGTCCCTTGTTTCGATTTTCCGCATTTCTCGACTCATTTCTGGAAACATTCCACGGTGTAGTCTGTTGCGGGCCTAAAGTAACCCCCCCCTCAGTTAAAATATCGGTTTCAAATTCAAGGGGCCGCGACATCAGGCAGATCTATTGAGGAATATCAATTGTGAAGAATATCGGCTATGAAGATTTAGGCACGACTGTTGTTCACGAAGAAACAGAGGCGTTTTGCCATCAATAGATTTTTCGGTATCACTGACCCACAACACGTGGATTCTGACTACAATTTTCTATATGCTTCATTAAATAGCATACACTTCCCACTTAAAACCGTGGTAACTGAGTAATTCCTAGGCATTTTAGGATTCAATTGGTTCCATAGACTTCCCCATGGGACAATGAAGTTTCTTTCCTGCATTTACTACCAGCTGCATGCTGAATTGCTCCATCATAATTTACATTCGCCTCGATAAGTGATCCCCAGGGTCTTTGAGGACACTGACTGAATCTTGGATAGCCCCAGAGGTTCCAACCACCACCGACAGGATTCTGGCATTGGGTATTCCATGAAGTTGGGATGACTGGTTGGTATTTTACCACCTTTTCCTTCCATGCTTACAGAAGGCTAGACTCATCCTCGTGGCGGACAGTCACGGCGACCACGTGGACCCCTTCCCGGCGTTTTATTACCAGGTCAGGTTTGAGTCTAACCCCTTCGGCAACAGAGAAAGTGGCTTCCGTGGCATTCCGTCCGATTTCCGGAGCATCATCCCTTCTATGAAGTTCTTGATCTCATGACGCTTTATTCTTGCTGGCTTCGTAAAAATGCTCTGAGCGAGGATGTGATTTATGGTTTCTACCGCTGTATTACACTTCCTGCAGCATACATCCTCTCTGGGCCTTCCTCATCTTAGTTTTATTGGCAGCGGTATTTGATCTTAATTGGAGTGCAGTGATAAAAACACAAGGATTCAGAAGATGATAATCTTTCAAAAAGGCATATCCAATCTGATTGTTTATATGCACCCTAACCGCTCTCCCTTGGAATCCCTGGCGGCTACCTCGTTATTGGCGCAATTCATCTTACAAGCACTTAAATCTTGTTCAGAATAGGGCCAGTTGAGGCTGTCTTTAATGTCCGTTGGTAAAAACTCTGATAGCTCAACCATCTGCAGATTTTTCTAATCGTTATCCTAGGTTCAGCGCAACTCTAGGAACGTGTTGGGCGAGTCCTAGCTATCCTAGTCCATCTCTCTTGGCCAGATAGAATAAGCCGTCTGCAGTACTCATATGCATATGTAGGAACTGTTTGACTGCCACTCTGATTTGACCGTTCGCTTCCCTGAGCATCGACATAGATGGCATAGATAGAATCAATTGATAAAGACAATGTGGCATTATGTATGAAGTAATGCCAACTTCTTAGTGGGCTTTAAATGCGCCTTTTGAAGCCTCGACACTGCTATCAAGTTTGATATGAATGCTTTAGATGGGAAGCCGATCCAGATGGAGTAGTTCACTCATAGGTATGTAAGAGTATGATCATTGCTGACAAGGGGAATTCTCTCCCCCAACCTTTCCAGACGGGTCCTCAATGAACCAGGATGGTTCAAAAGTAATTTGAAATGATGAGCATTTCGCGACGGACAATGTCATTCCGAAGGCCCCAAGATATTACACCACAATGTAAACCAATTCTTGATCTCCCGGGGCATTCTTTGCTAACAGCACCAGATCGTCAGCAAATGCTAACACGGACACATCCCTTCCCAATAGCGTGTATCCTGACATTTTCCAATTGCCCAAGCAGGCACTCCATGATGAGATTGAAAAGGAGTGGGGACAAAGAATCCCCCTGTTTTACTCCTCTACGAATTGTCACCTTAATTCCTTTTGAGAGGTGCTGAATGACCGTGGAAAACTCGGCGTAAGAGTCCATTATTAAATTGGTAAAGGCGTCAGGGATCCCTTTCCTAGTCACAGACCCCCGAATCGCCGCGGGAGGAACAGTGCTTTGGATATATCTACCATACCAGCACCTACACCACCCTCTGTTTTTTTCATGTCACTGACTGCTTCATGAATTTGAATATTAGCGAAACAGCCAGGTTCGGGGATAAATCCTTTCTGGATTGAACTTCACCACGGATCGAAGGCGTTTCTCCATAATGTTCCAAAAGATTCTGCACAGCAGCTGCAGAGAACTAATTGTGATGGGACAACCGTATTATCCTTACCATCTTTTAGTGCGATTAGTTTTCCATCCAGAAGGTACAAAGACACTGTATAAAATTTGGGTGGGGAACTATTTCAATTTTTGCTCATGAGGATATGTGGCTAACTTTTATCTTATCGGGCCCTGGAGCCGTGGCATTTTTCGTCCCAGCCAGACGACTTTTAATTTCGGCATCTTACAACACGTACAGAATTGTGAGGAAGTAATTTACCCGCGCGCGCGCACCCTCTCGCTCTCTCTGTGCGTGCGTGTGTGTTGGGTACTTGTTTTCTTTATTCATCTCTTAAGATAGTCTCTTGCACGCCCGAATCCTTCCATAGGATTCACAGACGTGATGGTAAATAACCAGCTGACGCTCTTCAGAAGTGGTGGTTTTCCCTCTGCGACTCATTTCGCTTAAATGTTACGGGTCCCACGAATCTGATTCATCGACTGACAGGTGACCTCGAATGTTCAGCAAGGGTTGAAGTTTTCAACGTTCTTTTCTGAGATCAGAAGATCCTTTACTATGTTACCCCAACGGCTGTCCGAATAGTTTTGTTGAAGCGAAGTCTCTGCATTAGCATTTCATTTTTCTTTTAATAAAACAAATATATATTTTCAAAAGTATTTATTTTGTTTAAGCATATAAGAACATTCTATTCTTTCAAATTTGAGCGCTAACTGATAATGATGTGGTTTTCTGAGGAAAATTTAAGCAATTTTTGGTTAAATTAATAAATGTTGGAATAGTTTTTTGAGAAACTATGTCAAGGTCGGAGTAAATCTCGTGAACCGAGATATAGTTCGCCAGCCTAAATAAAAGAAAAGTGTATATTCATTAAAAAGAACAAAAAACTCAAAGGAAAAGCACTGCTCGATATGGTCGCAAGCATGCAACATCTAGTGGCACGACTGAAAAAGACGCGAAATACCGTGAGATATTCCATTGTGGAAACAAGGCCTCGTGAGACAAGAAATAAAAACCCAAGTACATAAAAAAAAATTGAAGCCATTTTTGACAAAAAATTGACAATGTCTTTGAAGCTTTATGTAAAGTACCCCAAAATTTAAATCATTAGTTTCAAATTCATGGGACCGTGACATTAGATTGACCGGAAAATATCAATTTTGGTGAAAATCTTGTTTGTGGTGTAGGCGCTAGCGTTGTTCACAGACGTTTTGCCGTAAGCCAATTTGTCGGCAACAAGGATCCACAAAACGTGGATTCTGAATGCACCGCGTGTCAGAGGAAATAATATACTACATTTCTCTCCTGTGATTATTTCAACTAATCTTCTAACGTGAAAAAAGAGACAACTCGACTTATTTGATGTTGATTAGTGATCTCAAATCATCAATGCAGCGTAAATAACAAGACTACTTGGCCTTATCTATTTCGGGTTTCTGGTTGTAAGAAATTGACGTTTGTATGTACTTGGCGCGACAGCCCGTGAACGGGCTCAGGCCTACCGACGACATCCCTGCAGAGAATCTTTCAGAGAATTCAAGAGTTTAATTATCTCATTTTCAGCAAAATGTCGACTTACGGATATCAGCTTATTTACCGCGGTCAAAGAAAAAAGAACAAAAACTATCATTTTTTTTAAGTATCAGGGATCTACAATACGATTTTTTCTGCTGAAAAATTGCCGTTTTCCGCTGCAACAATACACCACTTTCTCTCTACTATGTAGTATGTGATAAAATAAAAATATTGTTTTTTTTTTAGAAAATTGCCCACATTTTACGTAAAATTACCCGAAAACTCACATTTTCAAAAAATGGTACGTGCCTTTATTTCAAAGTCTGTCTTTGAAAAATAGATTTCTATAAGAAAGAAAATCCACCTTCAATTGCAGTCGTAGGAATGCGAACAAATTTCGAACTTTTGCAATTTTGAAAATTTAGGGATTTCCAAGAAAATGAGACCTGCCCCATTTTTGAGTGTTCTCTACGCTATCCAAGGAGAAAGTTTAATAAAAAATGTTGAACCAATTTTGAGAAAATTTTGAAAATGTTGAGACTTCAGGTAAATACCCACGGCTGACATTCAGCCCTAGATGTTGACTTTAATGAATAATGGCATACCCAGTTTTCTTCGATTTTTTTTTCTTTCTCGAGAAAATTGACTTTAAATGTTACTTCCGGTCGTGAAATTCAAACCTGCTGCCACGTCACATCGCGGCGCGGCATCTGCTGGGCATAGTGTCGATTCCTTGCTTTTTCGGTGAGACTTTTGAGTAAGGCAAAAAATCTCTTGTCGCACACTAGAGTACTTTAATAATATCATGTGTTTCACGTGAAGATTCCAGACATAGTTTACAAAAAATAATTGTTCGAATAATAAGCAAATCCCACCCACTTGTAAGCCTCTCTTTATTAAGCTAGGAATTCTACCATTACGTCGCCTCTTGATTTATGAGTGTTTTTTGTCAAAAAGTTTTACTCAAGCGTGGTAACATATTTTCAGTGACTTCTGATGTCTACAATAAATAAAAGACACGACTTAGTAATCTTATTCATCAGGTGTCAGTATTAACAGCTCACTACAAAAAAACACTCATGTTGAATAATTTTTACAATCTTTTCTGACGCATAACTGTTTCTATACAATTAGACTC